ATTAGATTATCTAATATGTTATGATTTTTATTATTATATGTAATTCCCCATGATAAGTGAAATTAGTTTTATGAGAATAAGGTGTTACAAGTGAAATTATGCTTATAGGTAGTACAATTTTTGTAGGAATTTTAATATTTTTTGTCAGCAGACTAAAATAACACTACAACAAAAATGATCATTAGCGGCAATTAATTCTTAATTGCCGTGGCCATTAGCACTCTTTGTATATGTCCCTAAAGCCTTTAGCGACATTGGTTCTAATGACACTTAACTAATGTCAGTAAAGACTTTAGTACTCTTTATTAATGTCAATAAAGTTATTTTTGTTGTAGTGTCACCTGCCTAGCCGTAATAGTAATTAGTTTGTATTTGGTGTATACTCAATGGATAATACAAGTATAATAATAAGTGTGTTAATCGATATACACACTCAATAGAGGAGTGTGTTAAAAGATCTGAAAAACTTTGTTCTATTCAAATTGTAAGAGGGCAAGAGATCTCATTTTTATCCGTATTTTTTTTTAGGTACATTCAGAGTGCTTGTGCAACATCTGGACAGGGACTTTATGAAGGTCTTGATTGGTTATCACATAATATCACTGGCAAGGCAAGAACATTATGGCCTTTTCACCTCCTCTTTTAATTTCATTTTTTTCTCACCAAAACAAAACTGAATTTACTTGGTTAAATCATAATTGCAGGCATAAATTCAAAGCAGCATCCAGCTCAAGAAAATCCTCTTATTTAAACCCCCAAACGCGTTGATTTTAATAGAAGCTATGACTATACGTATATTCTGATGCAACATTTCATTATTGTAAACTATAGTATTGAATTCCATGATTTTTGCCTATCCGTGTATGATTGAATTTCATAATTTATGACTTTATGTATATGGTTGAAAATTCAATATGATAATTAAACACTCATCAACATTCACGACTTCATTCTCCTTTTAAGGCTTATCCGAAAGAGAATATCGTAATTCTTCACGGTGAATATCTAAACGGGTTGTTTGATGTTCAGTAATTCTTGTTTAAGCAATTCATACATATTTTGATCTAAGATTACACTCTTCCGAATTTAAGCAGTAACATATTCTTCCATAAATCTAAAAATATAAAAGAAATTAACAATGCATTTTCACAACTCGACCGCTACATCAATTCTGTTCCATTTAATCTCTCTTTCATGGCGGAATATTTTTCGGGATAAGTAATATTACTTGAAATGCTAGACGCGCAAATAATGGTTGTGGTTTTGGGAATAAATTTGAGAATAATCAATAATGTAATGAAACTTCATGATGTATCAAATGACATTAATCATTGATAAGTTGGATTTTTTAAATTTTATAATGGAAGAACTTACTACCGGAGCCCTTAACCAAAGAAGGCCCATGCATACAGCCACATATTGTTACTTCAATTGTCTTAATTGACCTAATATCTTAGGAACAAGAATAAAGTGTAGTTATTGATCACCAATGTTTTTTTATTAAATTCAATGCAATAATACATAAATGTAAAGTTGAAACATAAATCTAACGGAAGCTGCTAATCATTTATTTTTCAACAATGTCATACTACACCACAATGAAAATTTAATGTGGATCGAAATCTCACTAAGATCGAGTCAAACTTCAATAATAAACATGTCATGACATATCTGCAACAACACGCATGTAATATTATTAAGAATTACACAGATGGTGAGAACTCAACCATAGATGAAACCATGGAAGCCATAACTGGCAACTGAGAGAAAGCAATAACAGAGAGGAAAATATGATTTGGTAAAATAAGAACTCACACCTTTCATTGATCAGTAGTGAAGTACTTATATACATGTGTGAATATACATCAACGAATATGCAGAAAGAGAAAATATCTAACTAACTAATTAGCTCTCTAACCGACTCTGACATCACTAACTAACTGCACTAACTAACAGAAAAGATGGAATCTAACTAACTGAATGTCATAATTAATACACATTTTAATCATGATTGTTAATAAATATCTAGGTCGATCTCAGCCAGTTCCTTTGTTTTAGCTGGGCAATTCGACTCACCTATCTACTATAATCGAATGTAACGGCCATCTTGAACGACAAAATATACATTATTTACTTTTTTTTTCTTCTTCTCTTGTACTTGCAGCTTGGACATACAATTATAAGTTTGTAACGCTCCAAACTCGGAGACACATATCATTTGGGAAATCAAAATAACTCTAGAATGCAACATTAACCGCTTGTCTTTCTCTATGTATATCATCAATTATCTATCATTACTTCGGTCTTTACAAATTGGTTTCATTTTTACAATGTCAGTGTATATTTATCTAACTAGTCGATTTTACGGTCCTCATATGATGAGACACATTTGCACACTCTGAAATCATAAGCAAAATGTAGAAATTTTGTGGAAGGAGAGAGGAGCAGGTATATGCAGGGCCTCAAGTAATTAATTACGTATGACATTTGTGCTACGGCACAATTAATCGTCTTTGTTTGTTCATATCTACAACGTAATAACAAGTCTATTAGCTATGTTTGGTTTTGTTTTCTGCAAGGTCTTATATAGTACTATCTACACAAATGTGATAAAAGACAGCTCCTCATGTTTGGTCCTCAACCTATTTCATCAGAGCATTAATTAATAGAACAAATAAGTACTGAAAAAATTGAATCATTTCTTTTTAAAAAAATTATATAAGAAACAAGTTCAACCTTAGCTGTCCCCCATCTACAATTTCCCCTTCTGTTTGATATATCACATGATGAATACTGTAGTTTTGCCTTTTTCATAATCTGTTTCCAATTGTCTTATGTTTTTTCTAAAAAAAATCATCTAGTCTAGTCTTAAAATAGAAGGTTAGCTTAAAGTGATTCAAAGACAAAAAGTTGATTTAAATGATAATAATTCTTCTTAGTCTTCAATATTAGTAGCCTACAAAATAAAGTGTCACAAAGTTGCCTAACCTTTAATATCCAAGAATTGCATACAGATACAAACACCTATAATTTGTTGGTGATTTTAATATCCTCTTTATTAGGGTATCAAGATTCTCATCTGTTTTGCCAATATATGATATATGGTAGGTACCAAATTGGACCAATATTACCAACCAGTGGTATTGGGTTTTGGGTGAGTCCGTACAGTGTCGCATTGGTTAGGGAGTGTTTTACCCCAATGTAAAATTTCTTAGCACGAATTTGGATTTAATCAAACTCCAACGTAGGTATTAGACACGGAATGGAAAACCCAAAAAAATAAAATTGGACCAATATTGTATTTGTCTTTGCCTCACACCAATATTTAGGAAAATATTCAAAACCCAAACTTGTTTTTTTTTTTTTTGTGTGTGAAGGAATAATGCACAGTACTCTAGTAAATATTGCAGAGTAGAACAGAGACAAAAAGAAAAGGAAAGATGAAAAAAGAAAAGAAACTCTATTATCTAGGAGATGTATAATTTGCCAGCGGAGTTTACTCCTAGAGTTGTGGTCAAACTAGCAAGTTTTTTAACGCTATATTATAGTGTTGTTATTCTAAAATAATTGGGTGGTCCCTAATTAAGAGTATCATTACATAACGACTTTCAAACACACTCAGGACCCAAAGATTGGTCACTTTCTACTGCTTAAGAAAGTTGTAAGTTCTGCATCCATTATTGTACATCAAAATGTTACTCCCTCCGTCCCATTTTATGTGATGTACTTTGATTTGGCACAAACTTTAAGAAAAATGGAAAGACTTTTAAAACTTGTGGTCCAAAATGAATGATAGAAATTTGTGTGGTTGTAAATCATTTCATTAAGGGTAAAAAAGACATTTTATAGGCAAATTGTTACTTAAAATAGAAATGTGTCATTCTTTTTGGGACTGACTAAAAAGGAAAGTGAGTCATATAAATTGGGACAGAGGGAGTATCATATACTAGTACGATATATGGCAGCTAAGAATCCGTTTAGTAGTCACAACAATCATTTTTATCTGTCTTGTCTTCTCAAGGGCAGAGCTAGAAGTTCAGGTACAGATTCAGCCGAATCTAGTAACTTTTGCTCAAATACTGTATTGGTATTAAGAAGTTTTATTAAATATGTACAAACATTTATATTTAGAACTCAATTATTAACACTTGAAATCATCGTTAGATCATCTTAATGATGACATTGTGTTACGCATATCGGGCTTATGTATTCAAGCATACAGCGTCAAGCCGTTTCACTTCCTCCTACCGATTATGTGCCTAGAAGTGGACTATATTGACAAGACACATAGTAAGTAGACAAGGATTGCTATAAAACCAGGGTCCAGGGGCAAGTATGAATTAGGGACAGTAAATTCAATGGTGCATCACCTACTAGTACTTTTGGATTAGCTAATAAGTAAACAAAAGTGTATGAATGGTTCATTGTTTTTCAAAATAAGGTCCAAGTTTAGGAGAAAAGTCTATGCAACAACTACTGAAATCCCACTGGCCGACAATCTATTCCTGCCCTCGAGACATATCTCTCCACATTCTAATTTAATATACTACTACTTCAGTAGCATATAGTCTAATGCCAACCTGTCTTACTTTGAAAATCTTTCAAAGAACAAATAATCCATTTCTTGAAAAAACAGATAAACATGGGGGCATCCATCTCTATCTATGATCCCACATCCAAGAATCAGGATCAAGTTATGGCTTTTCACAACATTCATCTTTGACATACAAAGGAAACATAATAATTGATATCTTGGAATCATAATGATTGTATTCAACATAATTCAGCAGCATTGATTCAACTCAAGGGAAAACTCCACCAATCCCATATCCAATGAAGGAGGGGGGTGGAGTTGATGTTCACATAGTCTAGATCATCGGACAAATTAAGTCCAGTAAAACTTAAATGGAGCATTGTGCAATTGCATTTTTAAGAGAACATACCAAAAAAGAGAGTAACCATTGCCGAAATACTAGATAATCTAGAGAACAAGATATCGATCAGTGAAGATTACTGCCAAGTGGAGCTAGTGTCATTCGCTGATCTTGAGTTTTGTTTCTCTTATACTGAGGCTCAGGTGAGGATGAAATCGAAGATGCTACTGACCATGATTCATTCGAGCTCTCGCTACTAAAATATGCATCAATAACACCACTTGGACTACCAGGTACCGAATGATGTTTGCGCTTGAGACTTTGGCAGAGCTTGTAACATGAAGTGCCCATTAGCTCAAGAATAAGATCATTGCATTCCTCAAAGCTGTCCTGTTTATTGATCAAGAACTTTAATGTTACAATAAACTCAATGCTAATCAAATTTAGATGTTAAAATTCAAATGTGAAAGACAACAGACCTTTCTGACTTTAAGAACACTCATGAGCTGATTCTGGTATTCCATAGCATTGTTAGGCTCAATCTCATTGATCACATAAAACATTGATGCAGTTGCAATAACAGATGGAGGATAATGCAAGAGCCTAGAATCTGCATTCGATTAGAATAGTTTGATGATCAACCACTAGTACTAATTGTAGAACAAAAGATTTCTATTTCATCAATGAAACAAGCAAAATCAAAAGCAGGTAGATTTCTCACCAGTGATAATATCAAGAATGAGGCGTTCACACTTCTTAAGAAAATCCAAATGCAGGTTGGTCATGAATCCAAATCTCCTCATTATATGATCAATGAAAGATAACGGTGTCACCAGATTCATTTTCCACTTAAGAGTAGAAAGCACCAGGAGTTCCATTCTCTGTATAGTCTTTGCCTCAAACACAAATTTAGAATCAGCAACCTAAAACAATAAAAACAGAATCAGCATTAGATACAACAGACTCCCTAAATGAACACATAGAAACTGACACTCAGACATTTATACAAACACCAGCATTGCACATTTCAAGAAACATACTTGTAGGTCTAACAAAAGGGGAACTTGGGTCTCCTCCACTTTGGCAGCAATGGAAAGACAGGCAACAGCAGCAAGCTGACTCATCCAAGGCTTATCTTTCTGAAAGCACAATCCAGACACAAACCTATCAAAATAGTTCACAGCTAAAACAGCAGTCGTAGCAGTAAAACCATAGTAACCAATGACCCTCAACATCCAATCCAAAGCCTCTTTTCTAACCCCCATTAAAGACCCATCTGAGATTAAAGATTCAAAACCCAAATGAAACTCTTTTTCCTTTGATAAAAGTGTGGCAAGCTCATCATGTTCCCAAAACATGTCACATTCTAATAAAGGCAGAGTCTTTTTAACATTTTCAACCCATTTTTCATTTCCCACATCTAAACTAGACCATTCACCTAAATCATCATCCAAGAATCGATCTTCCTCACAGTAAAGGCCATCAAGAAGAGCAGAAATAGGATTTTGGAGCTGGGAATCTAAAGGGAAAACCATCTTCTCCTTCTTCTAGAGGGAAGAAGACAATGAAGGCTCTACTCATTATCTTTAAGGTAAGCCAAAACTCAATCTTGGACCCAGTAACATATCTGCTGCTTGGCTTATGGGTTTTTTCTCTCTCTAAAGGACAGAAAAAAAAGGAAAGAGAGAGAGAGGGAGAATAGGAAGAGCCAAAAGGAGAAGAGAGTAGAGTAGAGTAGAGGAGGGTAACCAAAGAAGTAAGCAGAGGAGGGATTTTATATGAGAGAGCTTTCACGCCTGTCCTTTTTTTTCCAAAAAATCTCTACATCTTTTTCACAGTCATATATATATATATATATATATATATAATAATATCTCTATTCTTTAACGTGCTTGTTTTTCAAAGGTCTTTTGGGTGGGAGTCTTTGCCGCGCTAGCCAAATGGCTCACATTCACTCAAAATGTCTTATCTCTGTTATTTTCGATTCAATTTATTTGTCTTTTATTCTCTTTTTAGTTTATTTCAAATAGTTCTGTTCTTTTGTCAAGTTCTTAATTTTAATTTTTCACCTGATATATTTATAATAAAACTCCATGATATAGTTACTATTAGTGTTTGATCTTAGATTTTCAAATATTTTTAAAGAATTATATGTATATGAAGTTTGAATTAATGTGTCAACTTGTTTTTGTCCATGACTTCTTAAAACATACTTATTTCATTTTCTTTTCTTTTTTATTTAAAAATATGACTTGTACTCTTAAAATCTAAAAATATTCAATCATATCAAACAAACATACTTATTAATCCCAAAAGTTATCCGGAACTTTCACTTACGATATCATTATCACAAATAATAATCATACATAGTAATAAGTTTGATACTCCCTCCATTTCATATTAATTGAATTGTTGAGGTGTTTCAATTAATATGAAATGGAGGGAGTACAAAATTATAATAATTAATAAAAAGCTACGTAATAAATTATCCAAGATCATAAAATAAAATGTTAATAAAATCTGTTAATACCAAAATTACTAATTACTACAATTCGTCAATTATGTTTATTAATGAAGATTTATCATTGCAAATAAATAGATAATATATAACAACAACAATAACTAGTTGTTCTTTAATATAATTTTTCAATGTTATACCACCAATTGGCGACGAGCATTTTTAACCCAAAAACTAAAAATTCATGGAATGTCACTCATCCCGCTCCCCACGAAGCGGTAAGGGTCAAATTTAAAGGTTTGATTTTCAATATCTCTCAAAAACAAAATAAATTTTACAATCAAATAAATATTTACCATTTTAAAAACTAATAATCCATAATTTATGGTCAAACGGGTATAAGTACCGCACTAAAAATTGGTTCTTAGATCTTAACATAGTTAACATTTAACAATGTGAATTTTAAGACGTTATTTACCTGATAAGTATTGAAATGTAGGTTTCAAAAATTAAGTCATTGATTGTCATAATTTAGTTTCTAAAAAGCATTTTCCCTCGAAAGGGAAAATAAACAAAATTATTTTCTTTCATACCTATTTCAAATTTTAGCAAATATACCGGCATTATATATATTATCAACCTATAATACTCACAAGTTTTAATTAAGAAACTTGTTTAATTGATAATTTTTCTTTTATTTTTTCACTCGATAATCAAACATCTAAAATATTTCTCAGGAAAAAGTCATTATTACTGAAAGACATTTTTGAAAAAACAACTCTTCGTACGTCATACATTAACTTCTATGCAAGGATCAAACAATTAATTACAAATGTAGTTTACCTAATTACCTTCCTAGCTGATAAGCTCTATGAGGAAAATCTTTCTTTCTTTGTAAATTCTAATTACATTTTTTGTTCTAGGCACATGTAAGTACAATTTAAATAGCGTAATACAATATTATTATCTATAATTTCATCTTAAAAGAAAAGACAAATTGAATATGTCAATTTTAGATTTCAAAATTACCAAGTTTTTCCTTTGACAAATTAAGACTCCAATTTTTTCTCATTATAAATAAAACTAATACTAAATCAATATTTCTAATCTCACCTACTGTCTCATCGTGAAAATGGGAAAAATATACGTTGCATCTTTAGATCTCTCTATAAAAAAATACTATTCATATTTTTCTCAATCTTTCCACATCCACAATAGTCACTTCACTCCCGTCTAAAGATTAGCTATAAAAAATAGAAAAATTGTTTTCGACAAACTCTCAACACACAAGGGTACGAAACAGGATTTCAAGCGAAGAATAAAACAATTTCTGGCTTATGAAATTCCACAAGAAAATTTTGAATATTTTCTTAATCAAGTATGAGCTCAAAACTATATGATTGAGCCCTATATTGGTATATCGGATCACCAAAAATCCAAGAGAAAACTTTTATTACCCTTTATGCTCAACAAAATTAAATAGAAAAGCCTATAGTTGAGCCATAAAAATTTGCACGAATATTCCACACAAAAAAATGTAACAGCTACTGTTTCTAATTATAAAAAACTTATAATTTAATTTACATCCGCTTAACCCAAAAAGATTAGCGTTTAATTGCGTAATGTGGACAAGAATATATGACGTTTTAAAATAACAACCAGGATATATAAAATCAGCCGAATTACAAAATCTTTGGCATGTACAAAGTGACAGAATTAGAAAATTCACTAAAAGGGGTTAAAATATTAAAAAAATAATCATATGAAAAATTAAGGAGATATATAAGTTTCTTTCCTACTAAAACTGTGTATCATATATACTTGCATGGGAATTAATGAAATTACTAGTCTCATTAATAAGGGATGAAGGGTTCATTTCTATATATATAAAAATGGGAAATGAGTCAAATATATCTTTCAATTTTGTCATTTAGAGCTAATATATACTCGTTATAAAAGTGACTTATAGATACCTCTATAATTATAAAATATACACCCATATCGTTATAAAAATAAATCATATATACCCCTACCGTTAAAAAATGTCCCACATTTACCCTTCATGGAAGTGAATAAATTTATTTGTTTTAAATTAAAGTTGTGCGAGAACTATAATTAAATACAACCAAATTAGTGGTATAATTACTCAGCACAATGCACATTTTGACATTTATTTTTTTCCCCCTCACACATGCATGTTCTGAATTCGGCCAAATGTGGCTAAAAGATAAAGAATGAGCTGAAAGAGTTTTGTACGTACTAACCCATAAATAATGCTAAAAGAAAGGCTACAACAATAACAATAGTACTCCCGTTTCAAGTTGTTTGATCTATTCTGACCTGATATGAAAAAAAAAAAATTAATTTTTTTTATTGAATTTTGTACTTTAAATTAAAGATATGTTAAATATATTAAAAATGTCCTTTAATTTTGTGAATTTAAACATATGTAATGTGAAAAATTGAAATTAAAGAGTTGCTAAACAGGAAAAAAAATCAGTCTTTTTAAAATGAATTAAAATAGAGAGTATTGTCAATCAAATTAAATATTGAAGATTGTCATAGGATGCTGAAATAATACAATGAGGAAGAACATTGTCATAGGATTCTCAAATAAATAGATACATGTAATTAATTGAATGAACATCGAAATTCCATTCCAATATTTTAGTATATGTTTTTCTTAATTAATTGACTAATTAATAATAATGTTTTTCCGGATAAAAGACTGAATTACGTACTGCAAACGCTGTTGTCATTTCAAGAATGTGAGTAGACTTCTAGCACTCCACCAACGTATTAATTACTCATTCATCTATCATTTTAAATAGCCAAATATTTTTCACTTTTTTTTTTTTGGAAATTTATGGATTTGAAGTTGAAGATGGTGGAGTCGTGCTGATAATATTATATTATTTGGAAATAATGTTCATACTTAAATATACTTAAACACTGATTCAAAAACGAAAAATGAGTTTGAAAAATCAGTTATAATAAGCTATTTTCCGAAACATGACGAATTGCACACTAATAAAGAAGAAGATGAAAAGATGGAGCATGTGTAGGATTGTTAATTAAAGCATATGAATGGGCATGGGTGTCGAAGAGAGAAATAATTTAAAAAAAAAACGTAGTGTTATGTGGTCCTAAATTAGCTTATATTGAAGAAGCAAAGAGATGAGATCTATGCTGCTAAAAAAAACAAATTTAGGATTTTTGGGAAGGAAAAAAGGTAGTCTTTCTTTTCTTTCCTTTAGATCCCTTTTTTTCTCTTTGCCATTAGCCCAATTATATATATATATATAAAGGTGTTATAATGTCTTTTTCAATGTCTTCTTATATTCAAACGGTCATTTTCCTCTTTCTTTCTTTACTCAGTTGAAAGATATTACTTTGTTCGTTTACTTTTAGTTGTCATGTTTTTTAATAGCTAAATTTTTTATTTAAAGTATTAACTTAATGTAATCTAATTTAATTTTAAATAGTACTTTTGAAAAACACAAAATGACAACTAAAAGTGTACGAAGGAAGTAAATATTTTCTGTTTACTTTTATTTGTTCATTATTTTAAAAATAAATTTTACTTTTATTTATCATTTTTAATGGATTGGGCTCCTCTCTATTTATAATCTATTCATTTTTTATCAAGTTGTTATTTAGATTAGAGACACATGACATAAATTAGATATAGAGGTTAAGATTTAATTAACTAAAAAAAGTCTCTAACCATGATTTAGATAATAAATACATTATATATTTAGTTTCAAAAAATTATTATAATCTCACAATCTTAGCAATAAATTATTTTGTTTATAAATATAGTACCTTTGTTTTCCTACTAAGAATTTAACAGAATAATATGTTGTTAAGATTGTGGGGTACAATAATTTTTGGAATCAAATATATACTAATGTATTTACTATCTAAATCATGGTTAGATTATTTTTTTGATTAATTAAATCTCAACCATTAAATTTAACATATGTCACGTGTCTCTAATCTAAGCAAAAACATGGCAAACATAAAGAGAAGAGAAATGGAGATGAGCCGAACCCGCTTTTAACATATAAAGAAAAG